AAGTTCGATAGCATGAGTTTTCTTGAGTATAAGGTTACTTCATCAGATGCTGTGATGATCATTTATGTGATCATCCCTGGGCTTCTTCATTAATATTGTATTCCTGCAAATGAGACAATTCACACCTCTCAAAACCAATTTTGAACTCAGGCAGATGCTGCTTCATTGGTGACACATATTTGAGCTGTTCTTTGCAACTGTAATAGCTAGAGACTTATTTTGGCTTTTTGATAAGAGCTGTGGTTTTTGTAGTGGAGAATGACAGCTTGAGAAAAGTCGTAGTATGTTGTTCTCTCACACAGGTTCCTGATCCAAGACCTGGTCCATGACACACACACTGCCCAGGGAGGGGTCTGTGGAAATGGGAGACGGCACCAGCAGGATAGCCAACTCGTGCTTCCCTTTGTGAGGGCCACTAGTGCAATTATGGCAGGGCAAGTGGGGCACCAGTCCTGATATAGAGAGGGGCACCAGAAGCATCCTACAGCACTCCTCACTTCCACTCTCTGGTTTTCAACAGAATCTCTGCCCAGGGCACTGAAATTCCTAGATATACCTCTGCAGAGAGGTGATATCCAAGCACAGAAGGCATGCCCTAGTTTTTTTGTTTTAGGATGTGATCCTACTTATGTACCCAGAGCACAAGGATATAGGATTAGAAGGGACCTCCTAGGCCACTGAGCCCAACCTCCTGCATTGTAGGAAACCATTTACTGTAAAAGTTGTAAAAATTGTCTATTCAAGCTCTTCAGATTCACCACAGGTACTGTCAGAAACCAATCCCACACTTCTGACCAGAGAACAAGCACCAAGTCAGTCCTCCACCATGCCATAGTTCATGACAGAAGGCAGAATGTCAAAGACTTTAGTAAGGCTCTTGATGCAGTCTCCCACAACATTTTCACCAGCAATGTAAGGATGCACAGGTTAGGTCAATGGACTGTAATGTAGATAAAAAACTGGCTAGATTGTTGGGTTCAAAGGGTAGTAATCATTGGCTTGATGTCTAGTTAGCAGCCAGTATCAAGTGGAGTACTGCAGGGGTCAGTCCTGGGGCTGGTTTTGTTCAGTTTCTTCATCAACAATCTGGAAGATGTGATGGAGTGCACCCTCAGCAAGTTTGCGGATAACACCAAGCTGGTGGGAGTAATAGATATGCTGCAGGGTGGGACGAGGATTCAGAGAGACGTCAACAAATTGGAGAATTGGACCAAAAGAAATCTCATGTAGTTCAACAAGGACAAGTGCAAAGTCCTGCATTTAGGACAGAACCATCCCATTCAGCAGTAAAGGTTGGGGACTGGCTGGCTAAGCAGCAGCTGTGCAGAAAAGGACCTGGGGCTTACAGTGGACAATAAGCTGAATAGGAGCCAACCGTGTGCTATTGTCGTAATGGCAGCTAACAGCATACTGGGCTGCAATAGTAGGAGTGTTGCCAGCAGATCCAGGGAAGTGATTATTCAGTACTGGTGAGGTCACATCTGGAGTATTGCGTCCAGTTTTGGGCCCCCTCCACTACAAAAAGGATGTGGACAAACTGGAGAGAGTCCAGCAGAGGGCAAATAAAATAGTTAGGGAGTTGGGGCACGTGACTTCTGAGAAGAGGCAGAGGGACCTGGGCTTATTTAGTCTGGAGAAGAGAAAACTGAGAGGGGATTTAATAGCAGCCTTCAACTAACCTGAAGGGCAGTAAAAAACATGATGCCTCTGTGCCCTGCCTCTAGATCTGACCATCTGCTGCTGACCCTGCTTGGACTTTGGCCTCAGCCTAAGTCTTGTGTCTTGGTCTGTATAGCCTTGGCTTAGACTCTGACCTCTGGCTTTGACCTTGGCTACTTCCTGGACATCTGCTAATGGCTTGTGCAAACCACCAGGTGGACTGCCTAATGGCCTACATCTCAAATATTAGACAGTGACAGAGCATCTTATGAAAAGCAAACCTGCCCCCCACATACCAAAAAAGTACAAAGCACTCCATGGGAGACAATCAGAGGAGTCAAAGGCATTGCCAGTGTCTAGACACAGTAATGGCAGAAAAAGTATTAGATTAATATACGCTCAGATGATAGTAGGAAGAAGACCAGGTCCCCCAGTCAAGAGGAAGGCATGCTTCCTTCCTCCTTCCTTCCCTCCCTTCCTCCCTCAAGTCCTTACTAATTTGAACTGGGGGAGAAAGAAATCCTTCCTGACCCCACATCTGTTGCTTGGCTTGATCCCATGAGGAAGGGCAAGGCATTCCAGCCAGGTACTTAAGAGTACTTAAGGTATTTCAAAGTACAGGTAGGAGCATCAGTGCACCCTAATAAAACTTTGGTCCCCAATTGGGTCCAATGCCCAACTTCTCCACATCAATCTTCTAGGTCTCATAATTGTTGATCCAGGATGGAGATTGATTAGACACATGATTCAACATCCTTTGCAGAGGGAAGGCTTTGTTTGGTAATTTGTTTGGCTTTCCAAAAATAAAGCAAGGGGGAAAGACTAGGAGTTACTTTGGCTGGGTTTTTTTCATGACCCATATGGTGACAGAAACCCCCCACCAGCTTCTCAAAAGGAAGAGTGAGAATAAAAGGAAAAAAGAGAAAAATGACTTACCTTTCTGAAGTAGGAAGGGAATGCCTTGGTGAAAAAAGAGCTATGAAGAAATAAGGAAGCCTACATACTTTTGAATGTGTGTCTGAATCTCTCAGATAGACTCAGATAAATTAAAGGTTCAAGACCTTCCCAAAAATTTAACCCTGCAAAAAATCCCAAGCAACACCAATGGAAAAACCATAGAGTTCATCTTAAATGCATGTCAGATATTGGACTGTTGGTCAGATTAATTACTATGTGTATGAGAATCCTGAATTTTAATACAGTCAGATCAATATATACTGTACCTTGCCAAAACTTAGTGTTTGCATTTGTGTTAAAACACTAGGAAAAACAAAGTTTTCCTTTGCACTAATACATTGTTAATTGCTTATAAACACCTTCATTAATTTATATTTTAAGTATTTTGAGACCCTGGGAAGGAAGTTGTTATAATAATGTTTTACTTTTCTATTTAGATACCAAGATGACCTTCAGCAGTAAAGTTTCTTTGTCTCTGCTACTGGTGTCAGGACCTTCCAAGGACAAAAACACTTGAACCATCTTTCGTCTCAATATCGTCTTTCAGGCTGGCAGGACAAGGATGACTGGCCTTTCATTTAGTGAGAACAGACAGCTAGGACTGTATCATGTGCTCCTCTTCCATTATCCTGAAGCAGCATTCTAGGTCATATCTCAAGGTGATTTTCTAGAGGGGAGCCATATCTGAAAATGGTAGGAGAAAGAGCCAAGAGGTGATTTTAGATTAATTACCACATCACTTGAAATTAGTTTGGTTTGGCATGAGTCTATTCAAAGAGGAAAATACTTGTCTGCACCTGACCAAAACTACTTGGGTGGCTTCTTATTATCAATATAGGTGCATATTTAAAAGATACTATGCTATTGTTAAGTTAGTGCAGTAGGACAATTAGGAAGTGTTTGCTGCACTTTAACAAAGCTTGGCCACTCACAAATTGTTATATAGATTTTTGTAAAACGGAAACAATTTGGGGGATGGGGCCTAACTTTGGAACAACAGTCTCATGTTACAAATATAATCAGATTTTTGTGATGTGTTCAGGAAACCCAGATGCAAACTGAGTGCCTGAAAATCAGCTTTGTGAGAAAGGACTTGTGCAACTGTAAGGCCTGTATTGCTTAATGCAGGAGAGGGCAGCAGATAACATATATGCTCCTTGACCATCACTGATGCATCATTATTAACTTATTATTGAATAGCCCTGATACTTAGAGTTTTCGTTGTAAATGGGCAATGCTGGGATGGGAAATGATTAAATTACATTTCCTCTCCATGCAAAGAATCTTCAAGGTAGATCCCCATTCAGGTCCACACAAAAAGCAGCATTGCTGAGCTGGCATCAAGAGCTACATTTATGCCAATTCAGTGGTTACAATATATTGTGTTAGAAGAGTGGCAGCCGCTGACTTCAGCAGTAGTTGCTGTTTTGTGAGGGCTATGTAGCCATTTAATTGTACACTCATTGTTGTAAATTTGACATTTAGTCAGATTAAAGGAAACAAAACCCCAAAAGCAAACCACCTAAGGTTCAAATATTATCACCTCCTGGGTTTTGCTCACACGTCTGTTTCCAAGTGTGATACTTTTCTAGAGTTGCTGCATGAAAGACCCATGCAAACATCAGAAGAAAACAGGGGACTGACTGACTTTGAGAAATAGCAGGAGTGACTGTATGTAAAGTGTTGTAGCAAAGGAAAATTATTTTCTTCTAAACTATTTCAAGTGTAGTCATCTGAGCTATGTCACTTGTAAAAGCTACTCAGAAATCTTCAGGAAATGTGCTCTTTTCTTATTGTGTTGCCCAGATAATCAACTTCCCTCCAACAACAAAAGCTCTCCTTTTAAGAATCAGGTTGCTTTTGAAATCAGCAGGGGGCGCTTTATCATTAAACCAAATGAGGTCATCTGTACTGCCAAGTATCCAGACACAAACATCCAGACACAAGCTTACTGCAAGCTAGTCTTCATAAAACCCAGCAGCAAAATGTTCACTAGCAGAGATAAAAATGGAGTATCATTCATCTTCTGATGCTTTTGCCTTACTCTAAGATGGGGTATGACATGTTACTAAAACAACAAACAAGGCTCAGAGATCACACCTTAGCAAGTGTGGAAATGGAAATGGTTACTTATTTCTCCAGATCTGTGGAGTTTGAATGCTGCATTTATTTTATAGGAATTTTCTTCCCATCTCACTACTGGTATCATTTTACTGCAGTTGGGCATTTCAGAGACCTGGTGTCTATACTCTTGCAAGGAACACTTACAGCTGCATGCCTGGTTCTGAATTTCCCTATCTCTTGCCCCAGAAGAGGAAATAGGCTTGTTTTCATGTGATTGACAAGCAGCGGAACTTGTGAAAGTGACACGGGTGTAGAAACGGCAACCCACAGAGCCTTTTCTCTCAGACTGGTTGTAGCTACCAGTGTGATCAGGACCCAGAGAAGTTTTACCCTGGATATGGAGCGAGAACCAAGGCGAATAAGGGAAGGATACTTGGTTAAGAAGGTAAGCGAGCAAACTGGATTAGAGCTGACATGAGCTGGACCAGCTGGGAATTTAACATCTTTTGTAAAAAGATTTTCTGCATTTTTTGTAAGAAAACTAGAAAGAAAAAACAATTCCCTGAGCAAAGCATTAAGGTTAATTTAGTTCTGTTTATTTTTAAAATGTATATACACTTGGTAGCAATGATAGCTTCTTGGACCACTGTAAAAAAATGCAAACATATTTTCTATTTATTCCAGAGCACTCTACAGTAAAAAGGCTTTTTCCCTCTTTTTTTGCGGGGGGGTGGGTGGGAGGGAGAGGGCAGAAGGGAAGAGAAAGGGAGGAAGATCAAAGAAAATTTGCTGAAATTGGCACAGAGTATCCTATTGAACCTGAATAAAAGGTTTATTTGCGAAGCTTTTTGAGGATTAGATAGAGTGTGAATTTGATCCTATCTCAATGTATGGGGTGTGAGGTGCAGCCTTTCCACAGCTCTTGAGTGGAAATAATAGCTGTTGGTTTCCTGTAGTTTAAGCAGGAGCTTTTGGCTATAGGACCCATATAAGTGTGCAAGGGAATATAGTTTCTCTTAAAAGTTAGTGAAAGAGAGCTGTGGTATTTCTGAATGCCAAGTCAACAGGGTTGCATCACTGCCTGTGTGTATTCCCTTATATCACTTTGGATACTTTCTCTGTTTAGATATTTCTAGCTGGGCAGCCACTGTGGGCATGTACACAGGTAAAGGCAGACTGTCAAGGAGGCACTCCATGGTGCTTAACACAAAGCGCCATGAGTTAGAACACCATTGAACCCACCAGGTGTTTGCCTGTTGGGTTGGGGGGAGCTCAGAGCCCAGCCCAGGAGGCTGCCAGACCACCCCTCTCCCCAACCCTGCCACCGCCACCAAGTGACAACCATCAGCTGCAGCTGGGGGGTGGCGGGGGATGGATAGAGCTCCTCCGCTGCATAGGCCCCCTCAACTACCCTTGCTGGGGTCTTGGGGGAGCTGGCTGTGCCTGCATGGTGAGGGAGGGCTTTGTTCCCACCCCCCATGTGTATCTTGACAGTGGCAGAGGCTTCCATGCCTGGATCTGGGATGGAGGGGAGGGGGCAGGTCCACCCTGCTTTGCGGGCCCAGCCCAGCTCCCCCCAAGACCTCAGCAGGGATAGGTAGGCTGGGCCTGTGGGGCAGGGGGTCTCCATTTCCCTCCCCCCCTGCCCTAGCTCCAGTTGGAGCAGCCTCTGCCACTTGGCTCAGCTCTACCCAAGACCCCAGCAGGGGTAGCTGGCGGGGCATGCATGGTAGGGGAGCTCCCTTCCCCCTCACCCCACTCTCTCCACCATTGCAAAGGGAGGAGATGGAGGTTTTTTGTCTTCTCCCTGTGACAGCCCCAGGAGCTGGGCGGTGCTGGTGCTTACCTGTGCAAGCACCAGCCCAGCCTGCAAAACTACATGGAATGTGGCTGGAATCGGCCAAAAATAACCCTTGCAGGGAATCTATACACATCTTCCCTATGGTGCTCTGCCTTAGAGTGCCCATCTGATACTACATCAGATGAGGGTTACATTTTCACACAATTAGTTATTTTTAAAGCACTCTCCAGCTGTGTATATTTTTTATGTTACAGCTGTAGAGTGCTTTTGGGGGACCTCATCACATGAAAAATGTAACTTCTGATGGCATTCCTTGGCACATTGTTGCTTTGTAACCCTTACATCTTCTGCAGACATGTATGGAAGTTTGAGATGCTGGGAAATGGGTTGCATGCTAGAGCAGCCCCTGAGAATGCTCCATTTTCTTAATAAATGACCCTTACTATGGTACTGGGTGACAGTGTTGTTTCAGAGAGACAGAGACTGCAGCCAGAGACAGCTCCTGAAGTAAATAAATAGGACTTACCTGTGTCCTATTTAGGTATCAATGACATGACAAAGGGACTACCAAAAGTCCACAACTGAAGATCTTAAGTTGATGGAGTCTTAAGCTTAGTCCTCATAAAACTTTGAGGCAAGAAGCACAAATTAGCTATCTAAACTCTGACACCCACCCAAGATTTTTTTAGTTTGAGGCTTTTCAATACAGAATGAATATAAACATCTGCCTCTTCAAAGGAAAACGAGCAGGTTTCATAGCCAAAACTGAATACAAAGCATGCAGACCATTCTCTACTACCCTTCTCCGCTCTGCTTTTTAGAGGCTATGAACACGTTTGTTATCTCAGGCTGGTTTGGTTGACTTTGATGATTATTAATGCCCACTGAAGGTCTGGTCTGATGTCTTTGTTTGATAGGACTTATATTGTAAAGTTCTGTACACTCGGCCATGTAAGCACAGGGGAATTCTTCATTTTCTAGTCATGCAGTAGTATCAATGTAAAAGAAAGGAGAAGTTCAATTGTAGGGAAGTTATAGGCAGCTGCTAAGTGAAGTGTTCTTAAAGCTGTTAGCCACAGGTGGCAGAAGGCCAGGGTTAACAGGGCTTAGCCCCCCACAAATGTAGAGCAGCAGGTAGGACTTCAGGGCAGCTTGGCTGCAGGCTTTGGGCAGCTGCAGCAGAAGTGGGGAGGGGCATGCATGCAGCCAGGATCACAGCCCCACATGTGAATCACTGCCCAGCACTGGCAGGCAAGTATCAGTCTACTCTGTGAAGTGAAAGGGGTTTGTGGGGGGGCGGGGCAGATTGAGGCCCCTGCAGTGAGGGAGGGAGTGGGGCAAAGGCAGGGACAGGGGTTGGGGTGAATGGGTCCCAAGCTGGGCTGGGTCATGGGATTCTTGGAGCCTGGGAGGCTTGTCTGAGCATGCGGCAGGGCTCTTGCCACTGTGCACACCTTGGGGGAGGCCCAGGGGGCATGTGCCCCCTGATCTATGCACGGGACAGAGGTAAGGTGCTTTTGTGCACTGGGCTCTGTGCCCTGGTGCTGCAGCCTCCAGAGCTGTGCAACACCATGTGCCTGCCACTGCTGGGCTGTGCCATGTCCCCTGCCCACCCACCTGTGGGATGCACATGGCATCGCAGAGCTCCAGAGGCAGCAGCAGTGGAGCCCAGAGCTCAGCACATACCAGCAGCCCACCTCTGCCCCATGCACAGGTTGGAGGGAGGGGGGGCACATGCCCCCTGGGCCTCCCCAGAGGTGCGCGCAGTGGTGGAAGCTCCACTGAGCTCCTGGATGAGCTGCCCAGACTCCAACCCTCTCACTACCCACCCTAGCCCCAGGGCCCTATTCACTCCAGCCCCTGTCCCTGTCTCTGCCCCACTCCCTCCCTCACTGCAGGGTCCTTGATCTGCCATGGCCCTTCCCCTGCTGTGCAGGGGTGGATAGTGTGTGCACACATACATGCGTGCACTCAATACCCCCCAAAAATAATTTTTCTCCCTCTGCCTATGCTGTTAGCTGTCCTACAAAGATATTTGGGGAACATCCATCTTAGCTATGCTCTTGGGCTAACTGAAAGAATCTCCTTCAGATATCAAGAGATGTTGAGCCAAATCTTGCCTGCTTTTTTTAGCTAGGTAGTCCTAGGCATGGAGTTTTTGGATTCCTCTGGGTTTCCTGATGATGGAGTAGAGCCTGTCATTCTTCTTCATGCTAAACGGCTTGTTTTGCAAATGTTTTATGTGGGTAAAGCATAGCCATATGTGGCCCTCAGGAGTGTTATGGCTCTTTAGGTATATGCAAAAGAGCAGGAAATGGTGCTGTATTGATCCAAGATATAAGAGTGAACATAGGCCACAAAAAGTCAGTGATCTTGGCTCTGTACCCTAATTTGACTCCCCTCCCTCCCCTTAAATTTCAGTCAGCAGATAAGCTTGTAAACTATTCTTCATTATTTCTAAGTCAAGCCAGGATGTGGTATGTGTTTTGCTTATTTTTGGAGTAGCTCTTTTCAATTTTTATGAATGCTTTATATCCTGTATTATAGCTAGCCATTTACATGGGAATTTACATTTTTGAATAATGGTTTCCAGTTCCAGGAACATACTACTTCAAATGACCACATGAGAAAGCAATCCCTGTTGTCAGTAGGTACAGGAAGTTCCATAATTAGTTCTTCCTCCACTCTAGAACTTCAGGTTTGATTCAGAAAAAAAGCTTTTTTAAGGGGAAGAGCAAAATGGGATGGAGAAGATATCCTCTGAATGCCTTGTTTAAAAAAGAATCCTAAAGAATTTCCTGCCCAATCAGCTGTCACTGACACACGGCATTTAAATGTGGCAGCACAGCATGCAGCTGTCAGGCATAATGAAGTGAAACAAACCACTTTGTGAGAGCAGCTGGGACTCCTTGCCTCAGTCTGCTCATTTGGCAGCACAAAGAAGGTAAGAGTGTGCACTGAGGGACTGCCTGATACAGGTGAGATCTCTGTACTGGCGTCTGTCTGTGGTAGTGAATTGAGCGCTCTCACTCCTGGCACTTTACAGAAAGTGACATGAGTTAGAGCAGCCCCCTCAACCCAACAGACATTTGATGTTTGGTTGAGGAGGGGAGGGTAGGATCAAGCTCCACTTAGGAACTGATTGAGCAGAAAGAGGTTGCTTGCCTGTAGTCTCTCTCCCCTAGCTGTCCCCCCCTGCCGCCCCCACCTCCTATGCATCTGCAGGATGGGAGGGGGGAGAAGGAAAGGGAATGAGCTCAGGGCTGGGGTTTGCCCAGCTTGAGCTGGAGGAGAAGTGGGCTGGAGGGGGTGGTGGTTACAAGGTGGGGGTGCTTCAATCCACCCCCACCCTCAAATTGGGAAAACACCAGCCTGTAGCTCACTCCCCTTCCTCCTCTCCCACATTCCGCAGATAGCACCAGGGGTGGGGCTGGGCTGCATTAGCCCAGCTCTGATCACGTACAGGGACTGACAGCAGCAGGGCATGCTGCTTTGGAGCACTTTCATCTGAACCCTCATAAGATAAGGGTTAATTTGTCACGTGATCAGGTACTTTTAAAGTGTTCTGCAGCCATGTACTTCTATCAGGGCACAGCTGTAGAGTCTTTTCAGGGGGCCAATTGCATGACAAATGCCACTTCCGTCAGTGCCTCCATGGCCGTACTACATGCAGCAAGTTACACTCTCATCATCAAGGAGACTAAAGCTAACATTTTCCAGAGTGGCCTCTGATTTAGAGCACTTAGTTGCTGGGTGTTTGTCTTTGGCTTTTCAAAAGAATCCACAGCCCTCCAGAAAATCATCCTTTTATGCTTCACAGAGACTCAGGCATCTGCACTTAGTAGCCAATTTTGAAAATTTGGCAAGTAGATTATGCTACACAACCCATCCTGCCAATGTGATGGTGATAGGTGCCTGAGAAATTTTAGGGTCTACTATAATTGCTAGATATCACCTGATCTTGCACCTCTGAAGTCAATGACAGGTGTGCCATGGATTTCAGTGTGTACAGGATGTATTCCCAAATGTCAATTATCAAACCACATCTAGTGCTTGTACCTTAGTAATTGGAAGAAGAGCTTTGTAAGCTAAATTTAAAAGGCAAATATACCTTTTCAGGCTGGGCAAATACTTGACCCTTCTAGCCCTCTATCATTCTTAATGTGTTTGGATGGTAATGTCTTTTTCATGGTCTTTTAGGTAAAACAAAATGGCAACATTATGCAAAAATTAAGCAATATGAATATGAATATTTTATATCTGTTTCAATGAAAATGATAGTGCCTACATTTTCAACCTTGGATGACTTAATGCTAGCACCTAAATCAATATACAGGAACTGGATCTTTCAGAGATGTTGAATGGCTGTGCCTCCCATCAGCAGTATTGGGAATTGTGGATTTACAGAATCCCTGAAAGTCTATCTCTATAGGGTTTGTGACGTGCTGAACACTCTTAACTGTCACTGACTTCAGTATCTCTATTGTTTGGATCTGCCACCTAAACATGGTGGTAGATGTTCAATTTAGATGCTCAATTTCAAATAATATTCAAAATGTCTAAGTATTTCCACATACAGCATCTTAAGAAAGACTAATTGACAGAGAAATATATATGATGTAATTCTGAAGAAACAAATTAGTGGGATAACAAGTAGATGGAAATGGCTGTAGAAAGATAAAAAAATAAATGTTTTTACAGTCTTATATAAGTGCCTACTTCTGGAAGGTCAAATCTTTAATGAATGAAATGCATCATTGATTTATTTGATCTCATGCAGGGTAGCATGTTTAATACCTGGAAGCCAATGTGGGTAGTACTACTAGAAGATGGAATTGAATTTTATAAGAAGAAGATTGACAACAGTCCCAAAGGAATGATCCCTCTAAAAGGAAGTTCTCTTACTTGCCCATGTCAGGATTTTGGTAAAAGGATGGTAAGTATTTTTTACAGCTGTTGAATGCCAAGAGATGGCTGACAAAGTACTTAATAATATGCTTTTGGGCATAACAATGTTAAAAGGCCATTGGTCATGTAGTATTTAGCTGTGATTTTTGTTGCTGATGCTGATGACGATGATGCCACATAATAGGTAAACAGAATTGAGCCTGCTCAGTATTTGGATGGCAGACTTTCAAGGAAAACACAGAATGTTTCAAGATGTGATGCTGGTATTTTTACCTTTGTGGTTTTCATGCATCTGAATCTCTACTGAGGTTGTGTTAAGCCATAATTTGTTAGGACCACTTTGCTGCTGGAGATGTCATCTCTTTTAATAAATGTGGTCACAAAATATTCAGTGGTGCTTTTTTCAAAAGCAGGGGTATGATAAATTTATCATTGCTAAAGGGAAATAGATGCCTCATCAGCTGCCTTAAGTAGAAAGGAGACCAAAGTCTCATTCGACTATCCATGAGAAGCCTTGTCATAATTTTTCACCTTTCTGTATATCCTGCATTTATTTGCTTCACATTCATGTATTATGGATGAGTGACAGGTAGAATTTGTTATTAGTCATAGTTGGACCACTGGTTTTTCAAACATTAGAGAGAGTAAAGCCTGAAAATGAATTAGTTAATGACTAGGTTGCAGGATGGGAGAAATGTAAAAAATCTAAATAAATTAATAAATATCAGACAGGGGAGAGAATAATGGATCATCACATAGTTGGCATTTTAATATTTAGTTCTGCTGTTTGGAATCTGTGTTCTTGCATTAGCCACTAACAAGTCTCTATTGGCTTGGCTCCCCTTTCTCTACCAGGAAGAATTGCAGGAGTGAGTTATGACTCACAAGGGTAGCTTGTGCAGATGCTGCAGTGCAGTCCTAGAAACATTTTCCTTATGAGGCATTGAGCTGAAACTCAGGCAGACGATAAAAAAATCCCATGATGCAACTTGAAACTCGGATCGAATCAAGTTCAGGCTACGGCTGTCACTCAAACAGAACTGCAAGAGTGTTACAGGCATTTTCTTTGGAACCGAGAAGGGTCTATAGTTAGCAGTTAATCAACCGTGTGACAACACATAACAAATTTCAGTGTCCCTCTGCTTTACCAAACATGAAGGAGGAGCTAATGAATTAGGCAGCTCAGAACGAGTGAGGGTTCTCATCTGGTTTCAAAGTGTGCAGGGACATGCCAGCTTGAAGAAGGAGGGGTTCATTCAGGACCTGGTCAAAGGCTACAGTAGTCAATGGGAAACTTTCCACTGCCTACAGTAAGCTTTAGATTAGGCTCTTGGTGAAGGCAAATGAAATTCATATAGCAGATCAAATCCATGTGATGTGCTTACTACATTGGGAAAATGTGATTTCTGACTGCATGAATAGCTCAAGAATCGCACATACTAACATTTTGTTGGTCCATCTCCTGAGGTTTTTTACTTCAGTTTTTGTCCCAGTTCTTTCTCAGGCACAGTTCCATCCCAGTCACTGAGGCCTTTCCTTAGGGACAAGAGGGGAAAAAGGGCTTCAGGATTTGGGGCATCACATACTAAGTGTCATGTGATATGTAAAGACAAATCTAAAGCCCATTGAAGTAGATGGAAGGAATGCCACTGAGTATAGCAGGCTTTGCACCAGGTCTTGACATCTAAGCCAGCATGATTCTGCTGCAGCCTTGTAGACAAGTTCTTGAAGGGAATTCTGTCTTAAGATCTGACCTATTAAAATGCTCAATAAATAAGAAATGGCCATACTGTAAATTCCTTACTCTTAAGAAAAGGCCCACTGAAATTGTCTAAGTAGCTGCTTACCAATACGAACCAATAAAGCGTTCGTTATCTGGACCGAAATACATTTATCTCTCAAAATGCAAAATCTTTGCACCTGTATTCCAAACTTTGGGACAGCTCTGAGTTTACTTTACATGGTTTCATTCTTTGCCTAATTCCAACTGGCTCGGTGCTAACACAACCACACTTCTGTTTTCTGATTGAATCAGCTTAATGTGTAGCAGCTGATAACTTTGCTGGACTGCACTCACTTGCACAGATAAGAAATACTCGCCTATCCCACTCACTTGATGCTACAGATAATTCTGTGGGTGTTTATAAAAGTATGGTGGGAATTAAGAGACACAGAAAAGTGCTGCAAGAAAGTGTGTTTGTTCTGATCACACAAATTTCAAGAAGTGTTCCATTGGTTTAAGGGGGGGTTGTGGGATGCTATATTTAGTCCCTCCCAGAGGGCTAGTACAGTTAAGACATCCAGATTCTGTATGTAATAGCACAGAAAGGGGTGATGTAGCTATCATCACAACCAGCCTTTGACTCCCTAGCCTGAAGGAGTATGTATCCATTTACAGCTGGGCCAGCCTTTGGCATGAGTCCAGAGCATGGCTAACTCACACTTTCAGAACCTGAGTAAGATGCTTTAATTGCACTGCCAAGGCTTTCCTCTTTATGTCACTTAGCAATGCCACCTTTACAAGTCATTGTTGTTTTTATAGTTTGTCTTCAAGCTCGCCACAGCCAAACAAGAACATTTTTTCCAAGCTGCCTACCTTGAGGAGAGAGATGCCTGGGTACGTGACATAAAGAAGGCTATTCAGTGCATTGAGGGAGGCCAAAAGTTTGCCAGAAAGTCCACCAGAAGGTCCATAAAACTGCCTGAAACCATCAATCTGAGGTTTGTGTTAATGTCTCTCTTTCACAGTGTCTTTTCACCTATAGGAAATAGAGAGTTGTACCATATCATGTAACACCAGACTGAATTCTCCAGCTTGTAGAAGGGATTCATTCTCTTGCTGGCAGGTCGGTGTTCCCCTTCTGCAACTCTGATGACTACATTTAATTTGTGCAGCAAAATGCATCAGTAACAGTGATTGTATATCCTTTCAAAATTGGTTTTTATTTTTTTTTTAAATCTATAACATGACTTAAATATGAATTGGGAATTTCTTTATAATAATAGCAAATAAACATCAGTACTGCAGCCACTGAAATATAAATAAATTGGACATATAAAGCACTGCTAATGCATTTCCAAGCAACTGTATGTCTTGCAAGCAGTTCTAGTTTGGATGCTTCAAATAAAGTAAAATTGAATTTCATAAACATTCAAGTCACTATTCAGACTAGAAGGGGAATGCAGACATGTCTGCCATGCTGCTGTAAGTATCAGTTTAGCAAAGCCTAAGTATTTAACATGGTCAAATGCCGGTGTCCTTTATAGGCATAAGTTCCCCCCCACACCTATTAAAACAGTAATTTTGTAAACAGCTTTATTACTATCACTGACATCATATAACACCTAGCAGCCTGAACAAGGCCAGAGACCCATTGTACCAGACACAATGAATGAGAATTCCTAACCCAAACAGATTCCAATTTAAGAGTGAAATCCTGGCCTCTAAGTCAGTGGTAAACTCTTCTTGATATTAAAGGAGCTCAAGTTTTTATCTAAAAAAATGGGAGTTGATAGGTAGGTATTGCCAACAAATTGGCAGTGGGCTGGGAAAAGTACACATAGAATAATTAATGAGGTCTACCTGACAAAGGATCGATCAATGACTCAGGACTTGGTCCAGAGGATTCAGTTTTGTTTGCCAGTTGTACTGGGTCTTCAAACAGTGGAAGTGGAACTGTAACAATTAAGCAATAAGTCACTGTAGAGGAAGGAAATTCAGGGCATGAAATGCTGAGACTACTGTGGCACTTCCTAAAGCATGATCATGTTGAAGAGGAGTGAGCATAAAGGTCTTGGTCTACCAGTTCTCAAATAGCACAGGGAGAAGTTGTAAGAGGAACTTAATTGAGTTAGGAACTGGCAGGTAGGAGTTTTGCTGAAGTTCTTGTAATATGGCATCTCTCCCTTCATGCTACAGATGCTCCTTCTTGTTCCCTTGCCAAAGCAGAACCAGTGGGCCTCATGTACTTTCCCCATGGTCCAGTGTCTAGAGGTAGTAAAAGAATCAGACTAGGACCTGGTGAGACCTCCTAATGTATCTAGCTCCATGTAGTCACATGACTTATTTGCTTTTCAACTAAGTCCTGCAGTTGCATTGAGAGGACCATTTAAAGTGTTACTTGGTGGCCTTCAGGTTCTTCACGCTGGTGATGACATTCTCTTAAGATGGCTAAAACAAAAGTATGGGGAACTGTAGAACAAAGTTTTTGGGGTTTTTAAGACCCAGCTAGACAAGCCTTGGCTGGGATGATCTAGTTGGAGATGGTCCTGCTTTGAGCAGGGTGTTAGACTAGATGACTTCCTTAGGTCCCTCGTTTTTTATGATTCTATGATTGTATTATTGTGCCAGATGGGTAGAGCTGTCCATCTCCTAACAAGTCTTATGCCTCTTTTTGTGCACAGTGCTCTGTATCTTTCAATGAAGGATCCAGAAAAAGGAGTAAAAGAATTGAAGCTGGAAAAAGACAAAAAAGTGTTCAATCACTGTTTTGCAGGTAAAGTGCTCTGTGTAAGAATAGTACAGCAGGGCTCAGGTCTCAACAGTACCAATGTACAGCAAAACACCGTTGAGGCTTTGTAGGGCCAAGGTGACCCACATAAAAGTTTGAAAGGAAAAGCTGGTACAAGCTTTCTCAGTCAGTAGAGAGCGTGTTACTGTTGAAGACTATTCAGAAACATCTGCCCTGGGCCAGGTAGAGGGTTAGTCAGGATAGAAGAGACTGGGCACATCTACATGAGGTGCTAACTGAACAGTAGCCTAATAACACTGAGCAGTAACGTGCCAGGCAAAAACCATGCTAATACACTACTGTGTAGTAGGGCTGTGCGAAACAGCACCATTTCACTTTGACTTATGTTTCGATGTTTCAATGGAACAGTGTTTCATTTCGAGATGATGGTGTCGCTGTGGATGTAGTCTTTCTAGACTTTAAGAAGGCCTTTGACACTGTCTCTTACCCCATCCTTATCAATAAATTAAGTGACTCTGGCATAGATGCCTGCACAGTTGGTTGGGTAAAATATTGGCTGATGGGGCGCACCCAGAGTAGTGTTGGATGGGTTGTACTCAACCTGGCGAGATGTGAGCAGTGGGGTACCCCAGGGCTCGGTCCTCAGGCCCGCACTGTTTAACATCTTCATCAGCGACTTGGATGAGGGGGTGGAAAGCACGCTGTCCAAATTTGCTGATGACACTAAGATGTGGGGCGAGGTGGACACATTTGAAGGGAGACAGAGGCTGCAACTAGATTTAGACAGACTACAAAAGTGAGCAGATGAGAATAGGTTGGGGTTCAACATAGACAAATGCAGGGTGCTGCACCTTGGGAGAAGGAATCCACAGCATACATACAGGCTGGGGAGTTCCCTTCTTGAAAGCACAGAGGCAGAAAGGGATCTCGGAATCATTATTGACTCCAAGATGAACATGAGCCGCCAATGCCAGACCGCAGCCAGCAAGGCCAGCCATACCTTGTCGCGCATCCAAAGGTGCATCTCAAGCCGGTCCAGGGAAGTGATACTCCCCCTCTGTGCGACTTTGGTCAGACCGCAGTTGGAGTACTGTGTCCAGTACTGGGCG